GCGAGACCATACTTCGTTTTTCACGCTTGTATTACGGTTTTGTGGTATAACACCGATACCGTGGGAAACGAACTGCGACTTCCGGCGAGCTTTCACTTCGGCTAATTGTCCCTTCCATCGCTCGTGCGCCTCCGACAGTCTTGACATTGAGCGTGGCCGTGCGTCCCGGCACAGAGGAAAGCACCCCTGCCACCTGTTAATCACTTGTCTAATTAAACATAACAGCGACAGACGTAATTCTCTCTCCGGAAAGTCGGTCCCGCTTCTTGAAGCGGTTGATTCCTATTGTAAAAACGAGCCGCCCGACATCGACGCTGCGGCGCTTGTTTTATAACGAGGACATCTTTCTTGACTAACTCACTGTACGGACGGCGCGAGCTTGACGGCACCGATGTCGCACGATTGCGCAATTCGCATGATGCTTCTCTCGTTGGATCACGTCGACCGCTAAATTGGAGCGATTACAGACCTTTCATTCCGTCGAGTACGTCGACGAAAGATATCGAGCAGTATCATCTCTTGATTTTCATCAATGAAAAAGTCAGTTTTGTAACACATTGTGTGCGAAATGAAATGCCGAAATGATCTCCAAAAACAATTTTACTAAAGATTTTTTTGGTAGTTTCGTGGTATTACATAATGCTAAATAGATATACATTCGCTTAAAAATTTGTTGTATAGTCTATGTGTGAATAAAATCATTTGCCAGTTTTAATTAAATAATTTGTATTAAGTGTACCAGTTTTGATTAAATTGATTGATATCAATTGTACCAATTTTAATTAAATAAATGATATTAATTTTACCAATTTTAATTAAATTAATACATGTGTGTATATAATGTAGCCATTCTATTAAATTAATTTATATAAAGTGTACAAATTTTATTTAAATTAATTAATATTAACCGTACCAAGTTTTACGAAACAAAGAAAAGATAAAAATTACAATGACTATGAAAAATCTCAAATCTCTAGTTCCTTTTCATTTAGTAACTTCCTTCAATATAGTGCTTTTATAGCTACTAATAAGGTAGTGCAGTGGTTTACAAATTCATCAATTCGAAATTTCTTTTGAGAGTTAAATTTTTTAAATTTAAACTATATAGGTAGGTATATTGTTATTAACTTAATTAGGATAATCCTAAGCTGGCCTTTGCTAAGAACGTCTTCATTCTGATTGAGGTAGGAAGAGCCAGACTCAAGTGGCCAAAGAGCCGCATATGGCTCGCGAGCCGCGGTTTGCGGAACACTGAATCGCGTTAAACGGTTGGTAATTTCGGTGTTAAGAAATTTAACGAAAGCATATATATTCTTAGGGAGTAGAGAAACAGGAAGGTTCATAAAATTCAAATAACATTATCAGCTGATGTAAAAAATCATAAATTATTCGTCGGCGGCTTTAGCAACTATCATGCGAACGATACGCTGGTTTATCATAAAGGAAAAGATGGTAATCAGCAATTTTATATCTCCGTCCTACCGTAACGTAACAGGAACTGCAATGGAAATTGTGTTTTAAAGCACTCGTCTATCGCGGCTATACCTTCTCTATTGCGCGCATTTAATTTCGTTTCTGTTCAAACGTATTTTATAAGTCTGGCTTGTCACGCTATCACAGTTTTCCGAATAAAATTACACGTATAATAACAAAAGAGAAACGGTTCCATTTCAAATTTCTCGAGCCGAGATTGGTGGTCGCCGTTCGTTCCGAGGAAAACTATCATCGGGTAACCGTTATTGAATCAACAAGTGTTACTTTTCGCATTCAAAGCATCTGAACTTTACGCCACATAGATCGTATTAATTGCACGTTCAAGTACACGAACGACTGAATCGTGCATTAAAAATTCTTCATTTCTCGGGCAAACGAAGCGGCACCATAACGGAATTTTAGAATCGTTATTGTTTCATTAACAGTTCATCGATACTGTGCTATACTTTATTAGGAATATTTTACATAATGACTCCCGTTCACAGTTACTTGCGTTCTAACTACGCACAGTGCTTGCGCCTTCTTACTCTGTAACACTGCACACGAATATTGCGATGCCAGCAATTAATTGTTTATATATAAGGGGAAGTTTAAATCTAAGATTAGATTAAATTACTAAATCGAAATTAAATCAAATTAACAAATTGTTCAACCGAAATAACATAAAATTAATAAACTGTCTAATCGAAATCAAATTAATTTATTAAATTATTTAATCCAATAATCCAATAACGATGATAATATAATCGTAAGAAAAGTTGTGAAATTGTAAAAAAAGAAACGTTTTTAGTACACTTGCTTCTACTCAAACGGACCCCTTTATTGTTGATATGCAAAGTAAGAAGAATTGATTTCGATCTTTTATTTAACACTTTTATGCCGTTAACAGTTTTTGCTACTTAACTAATTTAATTTGAAAACTTGCACAGTACCATTAAATGGTTCTTTCTTCTCAGCATAAAATGAGTAGCATCAGAGGTGAAAATAAAACTAGAACGCAGACAGAAGCACCTGTCAAGTGACAGTTTTCACTACATAACTAATTTGATTTGAAAAGTTGCACAGTTTCCCTAAATGGTACTTGCTACCCAAAATAAAATAAATAGAATCAAAGAAAATATGAAATAAAATGCAGAGGGAAGCAGCCTTGAAAGTCGCATATCCAACTACTCTTCTTGATTTCCAAAATTAGTCATCCTAAATTGGACTTCTTTTCCAAAATGAAATTAATAATATCGAAAGAGAAAATATCAATTAGAACGTAGACAGCATTTAATTTAACTGTAACTATTAAATAATAACTTAATTTAAAAAATAGTCTCACTAAATGGTACTTGCTTCCCAAAATAAAATAGATAGAATCAAAGAATTGATTTAAAAAATCAATTAAACTGCAAAAAGAGCAGTCATGAAACTAACATATTCCACTGTTCTTTCTAATTTCGAAAATTATTCTCGTTAAACTCGACTTGCTTCCCAGAACAAACCGAATATCATCAAAAGAGAAAATATCAATTAGCAGCGAGGAAGAGTCGCGAGAGCAGAAGCTCGGGACCGGTAATTCCCATTAATTCCCATTAAGCCCGATGACAAGCGCGTGTCTTCCTCGAGGAAGGAAGGAAAGTTATATCGTTTCAAGGTAACCCGAGAAAATCCCATTGAAGCGCTGATGAATTTTCACCGGAGAAATCCGGTCGCGTGCCGCGAGAAAATCCTCGTAAACATTTTTCTTTTCGTAACCGGTTCGCAGGCACTTTCCCCCCCGTATCGTCCGTGGGTTACCATTATGCCCGGGGTTGCAGCTTCTGAAACTTCCCCACGCGTTTTCTCCTGGCAATCAATTACACCGCTGCGAAGACGAGTCTCTCCACTGTTGCACACTCGTACTAATTAATCGCGCGAAGCCGTGTCCCTCGTTGTAGCTTGTGGGTACCGCGAAGACGTTCACGCCGCGGAAAAGAATCGCGGGCCTGCGAATTAATACGTGAAAGTGACAGAAATGGCTCGAGGCCGACGCGTTTCATAGGGCAACTAAACCCTGGAGAACGACAGCGCGCTCGTGACTGAAATGGGATACGGAATACGGCCAGCCACGCTACACCGGGCTAATTGCTTCTAGGATTCTCGTTCGTGGAATACATACATTTATGGGCAATTTGTTCCAGATCCGCAGGCTGGAGCAATGCTTGCGCTCGATGCGACGCAAAAGCGACAGTCGGCTGAACATTCGCTGCCGGCTGTCTTTCAGCGCCAATTCTGAAAATACTTATTCTTTTTGCTATTTTTCTACCATTTTTCTGTGATTTTTGTACCATTGCGTGCCATTCGATACTATAGTGTACCATTTTGTACCGTTTTTGTATGATTTTTGTACAATTTTTGTACTATTGGATACCATTTGGCAATATTTCATGCGATTTTTTTACGACTTTTGTACCAGTTTGCACCATCGTGCTATTTATGTAGCATTTTTCCTTAATCGATCATGTCCACTGTTTAAAAAGAACATTTTTTAATAAGACTATCCGATTGTACTTTTACAGTACTTAAGATAAAGAAACATTTTACTGGCTATGTATTAATTAACGGTTCAATGAATTCGTTTAACAAATGTTACATTGAAAATTAATTGTTTTTGTACCGTTTCTCCTTAATCGATCATATATTCATAAAGAGAACATTTATTATTGAAATAATGTGATTTTACTTTTGCAGTACCTAAGATAAGAAAACGTTTCGCTCAATGTTAGTTAACGATTGAATAAATTGATTTAATGAAAGTTGTGTACAAAATTGAAATTGACTTAAAGTTGTTAATAATATAATAATATTTTAATATATAAATAATATTTTCATGAAAATTTGATTCAGTGATCAGATGAAACTTTTAAAACTAAATAAGCACAAATTGTGCGTTATAAAAAATGGGAAACATATAATTACCAAGTTTATGAATGTTCATGGATGGTATAAAAAGTTCCCTAAACCAATATTACCTTATTTTGTTACACTGCACTGCTCAGTACAACCAATTATGAAACTATGCATTATTATAATAAAAGAGCTGGTCTTTCGAATATTAATTATATAATTCGTTTAGTCTTCTGGTCATTTTGACCTAAATAAAAATGTCTCGTTCACGGCAGTGCTCGCCAATCTTTTTTGTCATAAGTAAACTGCGAATTTTATGCATTTATGACGAAAACCAATAATAGATAAAAAAAAAACGGTAAAAACATTCAAGGCATTTAAAAATACTATTGCATTATTTTCAACTCAATAAAATAATTAAAGAAGGAAAGAAACGTCTATGCAGCTTCTGTGTCTTATAAATAATGCAGACCGTTTCTATTTTGCCTAAAAATCCGCAGTTCAGTAACGAGTGCATAAAATCCGCGATGTAAGTGCGACTCGAATGATTTTTCTTTCGCACGAAGATTCGCAGCCGATTAATTAATCACGCCGCACAAGCAGGACAAAACTGACACGAGTTTCCTTTGTTTCAGACGACCAAGTTGTTCGTCCCAATTGAACGCGTCTGGGTCCACGGCGTTCGAAATCATTTGAATACGCGGATTCGACGGCGGGAAGTAATCATGACAATTAAAGGATGGTCGCCACCAAGATGACCTTGAGGAAACCGACCACCACATTCACGCGGCTGTTGCGTTCGTACAAGAGGCGCAGATTCAAGCACGAATGGCTCGCGTTCGTATTTATGTGCCTTTTGACTGGTTGTTCGGCCAGGAACAATCCTCCACGGTTTCTCATCGACGGCCAGACGGAAATTATTCTCCGACTAAAGGAAGGCTCTGATACACCTGTCGGTAAGAATATGTGGAAATTCCGTTCCGCTTCGATGCTGCCCGGGGCTCATAGGCATGCGTTTAGGTTGCGCATACCAGCATTGAACCTTAAGGGGTCTAGCTCTGTTACGGCGCTGAAAAAGTCGACGCTGTTCAGGAATCTTTTTACTGGCAGACTGTTACACGCATCGATTCGACACCTTCGCAGTATAACAACAAGCGCTTCAAGAATGTGCAGAATTCTTTTTCCAGTCGAAATGTTCAATCGATGCGTGGTTATGGCAGTCTCATCCCAACGCCTTGAAAGATATTTTTTGTGCTTAACAGGATAATGTCACAAACAAGACGACATACTATAATTTTTTGCAAAGATACTATTCAACTTATTAGATTAATATTGTGCAAATATATTAACGAGTACTCTTGGGGAATACATAGGATTTTTTATAAATTCTTATTCGAATAAAATCTTGTTCGAATGAATTATTATTTCTTATTCGAATAAAGTATCATTCGAATGAATTCTTATCCGAATAAAATCTTATTGGAATGAACTCTTATTCGAATAAGATCTTATTCAATTTAATTCTTATTCGAATAAAATCTTATTCGAATAAAACCTTATTCGACTGAATTCTTATTTGAATAAAATCTTATTCGACTGAATTCTTATTCGATTAAATTGTTATTTTCTTTATCTCTTATCCGTCATTCGAATAAAATTCTGCCCAACTCTGACTTGAACGATCCAGTGTTTCAACGATCGTGAGAGAGAATATTGTTACAGTTCCGTAACTTCTTGAATACGTACCCGATCTGTATCGATGTAAATATAGTATGTTTCCGGCAGTTTCACTATTACACAAATTATCGCGCGGAAATGTTGGTTGCTACGAAATATTTAAATACATTCTTCCTTAGTGCGGAGCGTATGTAGATGGTTGCCAGTAATTTCCTATTTGCTTGCCGACATCACTCACCATCTGCAAAATTCAATTAAAGAAGCTTCGCACTAGAACCAGATTAAACCGTGCATCTACTCCGAATCAAAATATTCATGAACGATGCACAGAAGATTTACGTACAACGTAGATCATGAAAACGGATGTGCGCAATGTTTTCATTAAATTCAAAAATCACTTCTCCTGAAACTTTTAGCAATCTTAATATCATCTGGTTAGTCTCCATATAAAATGATTAACAGCCATGCTTCCTCAATAAATCTTCGTTTGAATGATAATGCCATATTAGTTAATGGAGTCCTCGAGGAAAGTTCTGAGCACAACGCCATCCTCGATGGAAATTTCGCTTTTGTTTTTACAAGGAGAACCGCCGGTGTTGGAAATCGCTTTTTGAAAAAAGTACGTATATTTCACAGTACAGTAAATTCTCCCTAACTGACGCTCAGCGTGGAAACAAAAATGGACAATTTCGGAAGAGGAGGTACGATTATTCGAGCCTTGCGTTTTTATAGTTTCTATAATTACCATAAAAACGAGCCGCAAGACTCCTCTTCCCAAATTGTCCATTTTCGTGCACAAGCTGAGGGTCAATTAAAGAGAATTTACTATATGTATGTATCCAGTACTGTAAATGTTCTCAAATTATACAGGGCGTCCCAAAATTATAGTACAAGCGTGAAATGAGGGATTCCTCAGGTGATTTAAAATAACTTTTTCCTTAGCGAAAATTCAATCCGCGGCTTCGTTTACGAGTTATTAACGAAAAACGGTGACCAATGAGAGGCGGGATTAGCTGGCGCGAGGCGGTCGAGCCAACCAGCGATCGAAGCCCGGTTCCGCTCAGTAGCTCGACCGCCTCGCGCTAGCTAATCTCGCGCCTCTCATTGGTCACTGTTTTTCGTTAATAACTCGTAAACGAAGTAGCAGATTGCATTTTCGCTAAGGAAAAAGTTGCTTCAAACGACCTCAGGAACCCTTCATTTCTCATTTGTACAATAATTTTAGGACATCCTGTATGTCCTCCTGCAAACCATGCAACTTTTGTCTGAAACATTTTTTCGTACAACGAATATTTTATGAGTTTTTCGATGTCGTCATATTGCGAGATTCACCCTGTATATGGACTAAGGTTTTATCAGTGACTCAGTGGTTGTTGTTTCGAATGTCAATTCATTGCAATAATAACATGTTTTATGCTTGCTTACACAATTGTCCCCGGTGTAAGTCATCGTCCGTGTGCATTGAAATTAATTACAGCGTTGATTCGTTGGCGCATCGTGATGGCATTCGTGCCAACTGATTTCTGTTGCAGGCAGTTTAATTTACAGGCTTCGTGGCGTCGATCCTGACGGTGACAGCCTGACGTTCGGTGTTAGAGACCAACCTGGCAGCGACGTGATTCGGGTCGAGAATTTTAACTCAAACGAGGCCAATATTTACCTGAACAAATTACTGGACAGAGAGGTAAGCCATCACGGCGACGATCTGCTCCGTGCCAATGATTCCGCTTGACCACCGGCCATGCCAACGACCCTAAGTTGCCAAAGAAGTTCTGAACGCATCCGAAGAACATTAAACACAGTAGCTGCTGTCACTTACAATATACATTAAAACTTTCCTTTGCACAAAATAAAAATCAAATACATAAGAGCAAATTGAATTGTGTCAATTTAACACGTTTATTACTGGTACACTGCAGATGTTTATGTTAATTTTATATGTCGAAATGTTAAAAATGGGTGCAGATTTTATATAATAAAATATGTATAAAATATATAAAATATAAAATATGTGAAAAATATATATAAAATATAAAAATATATATAAAAAATATATAAAATATATACATAAAATATGTAAAATATAGACAAAATGTATATAACATAACGTACTACAGAATGAATATTTGTCACTATTTGTAATTTGCATTACATATTGCATCACAGTAAGTTTTTTTATATGCTCTTAATTTTTAATTCGTGACAGAGTTTCTATAACAAT